CTCCACAGGGGGCGCAGCTCAGCTGGACCGTGGATGGTGTCGAAGTGAACGAGGGGGTTCTGACCAGCATAGAAGAACAGAAGAATGGCTTCTACAGCCGCAGCAGCACCCTGACCCTCAGCAAAGAACGCTGGGAAGAGGCCGAGGTGTTCAGCTGTACCGTCTCCCTCCACGACACCACTCAGATCACCTCGTTCCGTTTCAGCTATGCTGAAATAAAGCTTGAATGTGGAAAGCATGTCTCCTTTTTCAGTAGTGAAGTGTCTTTGGCAGCGATTTGGAACAGCACCTTTAACAGCAGGTCAAATGCAGCGCTGTGTGTTGTGCTTGAGTGAGTTTGGCTGAAGGACCATGAACATCTGCTGAAAGTGTTGATCTATTCCGGGACTCAGAGCTGTTCATGCAAATGTGTGTGTGTGTGTGTGTTTCACTGACTACATCTGATGCTTTATGTACTGTTGGTGAGGAGGTTCATTTTCGCTTCATGTTTCTTTGACTGGTCAGAATTTGTATAAAACTATTAAAAACATCTAAAGAATTCCAATAAAGTACATTAGGCGGAGGGCAAAACAAGAATTTACACAATTATAAACAAGACAAGGAAAACTAGTAAAAAAAAAAATAAAACAAGAAGGACCCATAAACTAGGACCTAGACTAAGAAAGAAACACATATCAAGGCAGTAATAGAGTACTATTCAAGACCAAAATCTTGTCCATTTTTTCACACACACACACACACACACACTCAGGTCAGGCTCCTACAGGGCTTGATCTTTCTCTCTGAGATGATACACATGTTATAGGAAATGAATTTGAATGTCCTGAAAGGAGTGTTCCACTGTAATGTATGAGCAGAGCAGGTAATGTACTACACACACCCTAATTCCTTCTTAACACTAGCTGTGGACTGAGAACACAGGGCTGTCTGACAGCCAGCTTTGTAGCTGAGCTAATCTCAAATGAATGAGATTGTTATGCCCAGTGCATGAAGACATGACTGTGAAACCTCCAGAAAACAGTGGAAATTACAGCTGTCACTCAAATCTCCTGATGACCTTTACTGAAGTTCTCACTCTCCTCTCTTTATAACAGAGGGAGAAGATAGAGCTCTAATTGATATTTAATCTTTATTCAGTCTTGATCATGTAGTGATGGGTCTGTCAGCATCATCATGGCCCAGAGACAACAGACTGCTCTGAGTTAATCATGACTTAACTAGTAAGCAGCTAGTTACAGGAATGTTGTATATGACTTTCAGCCAATTCTGAAGGTCCTGACTATGCAAAATTCATGGAACATAAGATATGTTTTAATCACTTTTATATCTCTTTGGATAAAAGCAATAAATCAGTAAACTAAAAATCAAGGATGGAAAAAAAACTTTAACTGGAAGGGAAATATGTGAATTGTGCTACATCTTACTGAACTGAAAGCAGGTGTAACTAATCAAAGTTACAATATGTCCATACATAAATGTACACAAGCGTGTAATAATAAAAGGTGAATGACTTGAACTAAACTTAGAAAGCAGGACGTGTATTATTTCAGTGTGGTCTCATACAATGTCTCATACAATGTCACGAAAATTAGTGGTTATGGTTAGGATTAGGGGCAGGTTAGTGTTCATAACTTTTCTTACAAACTTCATTCATATAAAACTGAATGAAATCTAATTACTTTTCCTCATAAAGACTCAGAATCTTAATAACACATACACATAATTATACAGAAGACACTCTCTCAAGCATATTTTCGTTTACAGCATTTGGCGGATACTCTTATCCAGTGTGACTTACAGAAGTAGAAGTGCTTTGTAGTCTTCATAAAAAACATCCTCAGGGTCTAATAAAATATTAGATAAACAGTAATAAACACTTCATTGGATTGAAAATGAAACCAGATAGTTCTGCGCATGTGCAATGACGTACAAATCACGTAATGATGTATGACGCACGGCTGTCAGCGGTACTGGTGCTCTGACCTAAGCCTCACCAGGTGCCATGTACCCCTCCACCATTGAGCATAGTGTCATAAATGACTGTCGTGTCATCCTAAAATTCTACTTCCACGCCTCGTCTGTGAAGTGGTGCAAGACGACGTTGTCCCACCCGTCCTTGCTTCGGACCCTCATCCACAGACGCCTTGTTCTGGGCTCAGGAAGGGGCATTTTAATTGCTTGATAAATACATGCAGTACCGCACAACACATCACGCGCTCGTCGTCTTCTAATTAGCAGCTGAAATAGGCAAATGTTAAGTCTGCTTTTTAAAACGAAAAAAAGAAGCAATGGCAAGACAGTGGCTGCTAGGCGGGAAACGTGTATTTGTGCACTGTGCGCATGTCAGAAGATCAAATCTGATTCTGTCATGTAAACGCGCATATCAACCCGATTACTTTATTCAGCGTTCTTGTAAACACTGCGATCGGATTAACAATCTGCTTGATTTCATTCTGATTGAAACAAAAAAGTGTCCATGTAAACGTGACTAGTGACTCAGCTGTTCAGTCAGCCAGAGGAAGTTCTTTCCACCACCTGGGGGCCAGGACAGAGAAGAGTCTTGATGCAATATAAGGAGAGAAGGTTAGTTAGTTTTCTAGAGCTACCTAGAGTTTGCTTGTCTAGTCAGATGTGTAACCCAAGAATCTTCTCCATGGGGATCACAAAATCTAGACATGAGGATGCATCTCCAGGGATAAACTTTGTAGAAAACTACATAGGTTGTGGACATGATAGACTGTATGCAGTGTGGTGTGATGGTTATTGAGAGATTTCTAATGTGAGTTGTGAGTTAGTATGGTGTGGTTCCTCTCCTCCACAGCGTGTCATTGTGTCGTATCACATCCTCCAACTCAGCACCTGCAGTCGCTCCCAGCTGCAGCAGTGCAGTCTCTCTACAATCTGACTGAGGGAGGTTTTTGTATGACTCTATAACACTGTGTGAACCAGTAGCCACTGATGGAATGGTAACTCTGACAGTAGTAATCTGCTGCATCTTCAGTCTGGACTCCACTGATGGTCAGAGTGAAATCAGATCCAGATCCACTGCCACTGAAACGAGCTGGAACACCTGACTGTAACTGATTCGCAAATTTAATCAGTAGTTTAGGAGCTTCTCCAGGTTTCTGCTGATACCAGTATAAGCGGTCAGGAGTTGAGTCCTTGTACACAGCCTGACTGGTTCTACAGTTGATGGTGACTGTTTCTCCTGGAAGAGCAGATTTCACTGCAGGAGTCTGAGTTACTGTGGCTTGACCTCTGCATTCTGAAAAAATACACAATAATGCAGCATGAAACTGAAATATTATAATAGAAACAATGAATGTATTTGTATGAACAGACCATTGTAGAGATAAAATATGAAGCAGTGTCTGACCTTGAGTCCAGAGGATCAGTGTCCAGATGAAGACGGGGATCAAAGTCATGGTAGCTGTGGGTGAAGTTGCTGTAGCAGCAGCTCTCAGTCATGAAGTGTTAAAGTCACAGCGCTATAAACACTCCCAGAGCACTGAAGCATGTGCTGCCAATGCAAAGTGTCCCCTAAATATGGAAACACCTTTACCACATTCCTCCAATCTTCCTGTAATTCTCACAGATCTGAGAGATTTCTTGGACAATCTGAATAGTTTGCAAGTGCATGAATGTAGTAGAGAAATGACAGGAGTTCAGTCTTTCACTTTAAATCCATCAGGATTCAGATTCAGCATTATAATGTTATTCTTTACTATCTTTATGTATCATGTATATTGTGTTTCTGACTGTAGAGATGAATCTCATCACTAATCCATCATTTGGTGTTATTTCTCCTCCAGTCTTCTGCAGTGTGTACAGTACACTGTGCTCCAGAGTCACACGTTTTTACTGAAACATCACTGTGTTTAAACACCAGAGTGACAAAGAAAACTAACTACTGAAGAAATCTTTAATCATACTGTTGTGTTCTGTAAATATAACCACAATTATATATGAACTCTGTGTGTGTGTGTGTGTGTGTGGGTGTGTTCACTATAGTGTGACAGAGGTTGTTATACGAAGGCTTCATAGAAATGTATCACTGTGGTTCACTTTTGGTGGAGGCACTAAACTCATTGTGAAAAGTAAGTGCCTTCTTTTTCTAAAAGCTCACAGATTCATTAGTTTATTACCAAAATTTAATGAAATGTATGAAGCATGAACAATAATGGTTTGTTGTTGTTGTTCCTCTTTCGGCTGCTCCTGTTAGGGGTCACCACAGCGGATCACTGGTCCACGTATTTGAATTGGCACAGTTTTTAAGCCGGATGCCCTTCCTGACGCAACCCTCCTCAGTTTTATCTGGGCTTGGGACCAGCACTGAGATCGCGCTGTTGCACACAACCCCAGTGGCTTGGGTTGGTTCCTTGGCCAGGAATCAAACCCAGGCCACAGCAGTGAGAGCGCAGTGAGAGCACTGTGGCCTAACCACTAGTCCTCCAGGGACCCAATAATGGTTGATTGTTGATTTCCCATTAATGCTAAGCCATGAATAATTATTAAGATAATCTAAAAAAGTTAACAAAGATGACGTTATCCTGGTGTGATGGTTATTTTGTGTCATTAGCTTTTCCCACACGGATTAACCCAGCCCTTACCGGAGCTCATCTCTTCCACGAAACCAAAGTGAGTTTACAAGCTGTGGCTAGGCCACTTGTGGATAGCCCATAGCCTGTACCTGTAAATAGTATTTTCTTAAGCAAGTGTTAATATAATACATGTGTTAAGTGCATATAACTAAGAGGTGGTAACAAAAGTACATATTTGAATTCTGCTGTTTTGAGTACAAATACAAGTAGTATAAACTTGTGTTGACTGAAGTAGACTAATATCAAGATAATAAAGGACTCAACAAGCTCTTGAATGACCTCTGTAGATAGAACTGTCCGGATCTTCGTGATATAAATGAGAAACCTGCGTGACTGAATCAAGTTAGGAATATGAGGAGAGAAGGTCAGTTGGTTGTCCAAAACTACTTCAAGGTTTCCTGTGGTGTCAGATGGTGTGACCCAGTAGTTCTTAAGGGAGATGACAAAATTGTGACATGGCGATACATCTCCAGGGATATACAACAGCTCAGTGTTT